CAAGGGATAGATTGATTTCTTATGAAAAGAGAAAAACGGTATTTATAGCTCCTTATGAACTTCTGCCTCACCTTTTGAAAAGGTTGCAGGTATACTACTGCATCCACACTAAAACTGCTGTATAAGTTTGCACCCATTTTTTTCTGGAGGCAGGCATTTAATATGGGTTCCACTAGATGCTGTCTCCCTCTACTGCTGTATTCTTCCTCTGTAGTTTTGTGCATGAGCATTCCCTCTTTGATGTTCAGCACAGTGCACACTATTAAGAGGAAAAAAAGTGCTAATGGGAGTTTAGTAGGGTGGTGTAGTGGCTGGGGAAGGAGGGTATGTTCACCACTACAGGTGCTAAATGCAAGCTGCCTCTGGCTGCCTCTATCTCTTCAAGTCTGCTTTCCAGCGCATTCAGAGCGAGACCTCAGTGTAAAAACTGATTATCAGTAAGCAATCCACTCATTCAGGTCTGACAGAAGTCAGTGTAAGAGAATATCAGTGCTGCTTTTGCAACCCCTCTGAAAACCTAGGTCTGTTGCTTAGTGGCCGTGCTATTTAATGCTTCCATAAATAGCAAGGTCATGCTCTGAAGAGGGGGAAGTAATTCTCTGTGTGTGTACATGTACTTGGATCAATATTGGCATGAAGTCTAGAGCAAAGGATTAAACTGCTTCCTTCATGTACAGGCATGTCCCATAACTGCTACAGCCTAGCTTTCACCAGGCACTGAACAGCTACTGCCAGGTACTTTTGTTTTCAGGGTGTAACAAGCCAACCTCCTAGCACTGCCTGTTGCTGTTATGCTCAAAGCCATGCTCTGACTCCCATTGGGGGTCCATTATAATATCACAGATTGCTGCATCCTGGGGAGATGTAAGCCCAAGTGAAACCAAAATTTTCGGCTCCATCACCTGGAATTCACCAGCCATTTAAACATGTACTGAAGCACACTGTTGTTCTCAGAAGAATTATTATAAAAATATTTGACTTCTCAAACAGTCAAGCTACTTCTAAAAAGCCCTTTGCCAGTCAGGCACATGGATGCTGCCTCTGTCATGCAGGTGTTCTGTCGGAGGGAGGAAACAACCCCCCATCAGGCTGTAGTGTTCACAGGGTAGTTTAGCTCTGTTGCTGAACACAGCAGCTAAGGAACTTGCATGCTCAAACCCACCACCATATTATATATGCAGGTGTCAGATGGGGGGTGATGACACATGATGCCTTGGCTAATATGTAGCCATAATCAGTCAGTACAGGGGTACCCGCATTTCTAGTTTCTTCACTGAAAGCATTCAGAATCGGCCAAGTGCATTTTACATACCAGTTAATAAGCCCAAATTTTTCTTTCTAGTTTTCATAGCAGCTACTCTATACTCCATACTGCAGAGGACAAGTAGTAAGACACAGGAAGGGTGCCAGCTATCAGAAATCTCAAATTATTCCAAACAGGAGAGAAGCAAATCCCAAGACTCAAAGCTAGCAACCTTCAAAGTGACAGGAGCACAACTAACCCCGGCACACATTAACATCAGATGCAACAAGTTACCTAATGTTCTGGTGCTGGCAAGCAAGGGTCTGAAAGCAGAACCAGTGCACAGCAAGAGGCCGGCAGAAGTCCATAACTTATCTGCAAAATAAAGACAAATCCAATGACATATAGAAAGGATAAATTTTCCCCAATTAAAAGGACAAAGAATGAGAAAAGAAACACATATTTTTTGCCAGCAAACAAAACTTGAATGGTGGGTTGCGTAACTAGGGGTAATTATGTAAGCTTTAGTTTAGTTTCTGGGAAAATAATAGAGGAAGTAATCTGCAAAAGATGTTTAAAGTCTGAGATAAATGATCCATAGCAGTGGCAGAGTAAACAAGCCAGAACACAGCCGTAAAGCCACTGCTAACATTTGTCTGGGACAAAAAGAAGTCATCTAGCTGAATAGTTGCATAGCCCTAAACTCATACCCTCCTCCATTTCTCAACCTATTTACACAACAGAGAAACCCCAGAGGGTACAGGGGCAGTGAAAACATCCCGAATGCAAACCGGAGCATGTGTTCCCGGTTGCTGGGAGGAGACATCAGGAGGGAGCTCTTCTTACCCGGGCCAGCACCGGGTGCCAGGCTGGGCAAGCTGTGGTGTCTTCTACCCCTCACTCCCTCCTTCCTCCACCCCTGTGTGCAGCACAGTCCCACCGGGCAGAGACTGCCAATTAGCAGAGCCGCTCATGTTCCCGAAGCTTTTGGGTGCCTCTGTTTTCCCCAAGCCCCTCGCTGCGCGCTGTAGGTGGTTGGATATAACCCGTGGGTTCGTCCCAGGAGGAGGAAACCAGCATCACGAGCTCATAGCCTTCATTTCTTTAGGGAACTGGACTAAAAATAGCTCATCGGGCTGGGGTCAGCTTCCCCCGCCAGCAGGACTTTGCCACAGGAGGAGGAAGAGGAGGAGGAGGAGGAGGAGGATGCTGTCAGGCTGCGCGCTCCCTCTGCCCCGTGCTGCATGGGGCGGTCACCAGCCTTATCCAGCCCCAGCTGCCCCTTGCTGAAACACACTCCTGGGGGGAAATAAATGTCCTGAGAAACATTCCTAGAGCCTGCTCTCTCTGCTGCTGCTTTCAGCCATGAAGTCCATGTTGTCTCCTAGCCAACAATAGTAATAGCAATACTACTACTACTACTAATAGAAGCATTATTAACACCACCAGATTCACAGCTCTCATATCCCTTGTGCCTTGCCCTCATTTATTTTGGGGCCCATCTCTCACACTGCACCCCTCAGCCCCTGCTCAGTCTCCCAGCATAGCAAGGACCACACAGCCCATCTCTGCCCCCCCATGCCAGGGCTTTAAAAGCCCCATGAGGTCCCCAATCTCTGCAGCTCAGGGAAGGGGCTCCTGCCTGGTAATGGGTATTTTAGAGCCCACACTTGTGGCTCACCATGTGCATTTCTCTCGGGGTGTGTTCAGCCCCTGGAAAACCTTTCCTCTCCTGCTCCCAAAAAGCAAACCCATGCTTTAGTCCTTTGAAAAAGCCAGGCTGAACTTTTACTCCCTGCAGGACCCATCACCTCTCACAGGCTCCAGATGGATGCACATGGCAGGTCTCACTCTAAACACTGGCAGCATGACTAAATAACCACATCACAGGTCCAAATCTCCTGCTTTTCTTTTGTTCAGATGGGCCACCTAGCTACACATCAGCCCGGAATTGTGCCTTGAACTGACACTTGCTTTTAGTCAATATTTATAATATTAGTTAAGCCTTATATCATCAGGAATGACTGCCTGGAGGAACAGACAGCAATGGGATAGGCAGGGCATTGTAGGCAGAAACAAGCTGTTAATGCAGGCAAACATCCAAGGGGCCAGAGATCTTAACCCCTGCCCTTCTCCCAGGGCCTTCACACAGAGCAGAAGATGGCAACCAAGACCTACTTCTTGGGGCCTTCCCTGACTACAGCAGAGCCTGATCTGCTGCTGATTGTCCCCAGGAGGTGCCAGGCTTCATGGAGAGGGGAGAAGCCATCCTTCCCAACAGCACCCCCCCCCTCCTCCTCCAGCAAGAGCCGTTGCCCTGGATCTCCTTCCCAGCAAGGGGTTGCACAGCGATGCTGCATCCACAGACCTCCCACCTGCCAGCACGGGGGTCCCATCAGCCCCAACATAGGAGCCCTCCCCTGTCTGCCTGGTTTGGCCACCTCAGCACACGGAAAAGCCCACTTCTTGTCAGGTGAGGGGTGCAGAGGGAAGAGAGGGAGCAAGACCCACGCTTGCTGCTCCCCAGGGAAGAGCAGCAGGCAGCTCCTTGCAAAGCAGATTGCAAATGGGTCCCCTGCCAGCAGCTGGGCTGGGGGATGCCTGTGGGGACTCACTGCACACTGCCATACTTTGGGCAGACACCAGCCTGGCACAAGGCACTGAAGCCTAATACAAGGGTAGCCCCTGGCCCAGAACTGCTAGCCCAGCACCAGCGTGGCTGGGCTCCCAATTATTTAGGTTGCTCTGTACCCCAGCCACCCTCCAAGACTGTTCCCAAACCCTCATGATAGCCTTGGTCAGGCTCTCTCCTCTCCATCCACATCCTGAGGCTCCCAGAGTCTTGAGTGCTGATCCTGGATATACTTACCCCCTTGAGTAAATAGCCTTTCACTCCTTACTGCTCCTACATCCTACTCCCTGCTGGCTGCCATCTCCCAAACCAGACTTTGGGCAGGGCACAGAGCTCTTGAGAGGGCTCGGGCTCATCTCCCTTTCCTATGGGCACCTGTGGTTTCATAGCCCACATGCCAGGTGGCTCTTTCAAATGTATGATTCGGCTTACAACCAAGTGTAACTCCTTTGCAGCTCCTCCACTTCAGCTCTCAGGGGAGCAGAAGCCAAAGGAGTTATCTGAGATTTTGCCCTCTGCACTTTTTCACCTGGGAATCCCAAAGGGAAAAGCATCCTGGTCCGATCCTTTCCCCTGTGCCTCATTTGCCATGGAGCCCAGGCACCAGATTTTAGCTGTTTGTCTTTATTTGAACGCTAAAGATGCCCTGGCAGGGCTGCTCCCTGCTCTTCTCTCCCAGGAGCCTGGGAATCTCTGTCATGCCCTAGGCATGGATTTGAAAGGATTGGGGCTGAGATGCAGGCAGACCCCAGCACCTTCCCAACTCTTCTCGTGGCTCAGCGTTCACCCACCTTCCCTCCTCATCACGACACAGGAACTCACCCCAGCCAAGAGAACTACAGCCCCAGGCAGCAGCGTCACAGCCTTGCAAAATCATCCCCAGCCCTTAGAGAAAAAAAAGCTGGGCTGAGCAGGGATGCTGCCTCCCGCAGCGGGCCCTAGCTCGCGGCGCTGCTAAAACCTCTGCTGGGAATTAAAGGGTTGTCCCAGACGCCTGGATGAAAGGAAAAATGTCCCTGGATGGGGCCATAGCTGCTGGATGGTTGCTGGCTCCTGGCTAGTGCTGCCTGTGGCTGCTAAATGCCCAACTCTGGGGAACCCAGGGGACCTCCAAAAAGCATCAGACTGTTTTAAAAATACTTTATTCTTTAGAAAATACAGCGTTCAGTACAGTGTGCTCTGCTCCCCTCAGCTTCCGCCCCCTCCACCGCCCGCTCCGCCGAGGTCAAGGCAACGTCGGCATGTTGACCGACGCAGCAGGAGGGCAGAGGGCAGGTTTCACCGACCCCCCCCCCCTCCATCTTCCCGGTGGCAGCTCTCGAGCCCTCCCTGGTACCCAGCAGCAAGGCGCTCTCCCCCCAAGCCCCCCCTGAAGCCGAACTCGCAGGGCCAAGCTTGGCCCTCGGTGGCTGCAGAAGGCCCTGGGGGGAGGCGGGGGGGCACGCAGGGCCGGTCATGCTTCCCTGCACAAGGATTTGGGGTAGCCCCTGTTACTTTTAAGACATGGGGCTGCCCCAGACCAGAGAGCTGGCAGCACACCCAGAGGGTGACAGGAGGGGCTGGGGAGTGTGGAAAGGGGGACACCAGATCTCGGGGTCACCCTGGCTCCCATCCTAAACAGGGATGGGGCTAAGTCAGAGCTGTAACAGATCCCTCTGAGGGGAAAAGCCTTATTGGGGGGGGGGGGGGGGGGGGGGAGATGGGGGTGGTGTTCAAAAAGGGGCTGCAAACATCACCCAAAGGCAGAGTGACCTTTCTCCAGGGCCAGGCTGAGCTCAGGACTTGGGGGGAAGGGATGAGGACACACACCTTCTAGCTCACGCTGGCTGGGTCCCCCCAGGGACAAATTCCTGCCAGCAAAGGCCACCCTGCCAGGAGGGGTCCTGCCCGCACCCTGAGGGGGTGCAGGATCGCTCCAGGCCTGGGGCAGAGGGGTCATGCACACCGAGAGCTGGACAGGGAAGCAAAATCTGGGGGCTGAGGGAGCAGGGAAAGAAGCATTTTTTCTTTTCAAACAGGAATCCCCAATGCCATCTCTGTCCCTTTGCATAGAGCAGCTTGCAGGCGAGCGTGTCCTTCAGTCACCCAGGGGCCACCGAGAGCAGTGGCTGTGACCCCGGGGGGGACAGGAGCAAGGCTGGGGGACACGGCCCTGCTGCTCCTGTCCTCCGCCGGCAGCCCCGGGGCTTGCACAAAGGATGCGAGGAAAAGAAACGCCGACAACCCTGAACCCTCCCCATCGCTCTGCCCCCAGGTGCAACAAGCCATCCTGATGTTTAAAAAAGGAATGAAATAGGAAAAAAAGAAGGGGGGGGAGGGAAAAGACTTGAGATGGAGGGAGAGATCCCCAGGTCAGCGGAGACGAAGCCGGGAAGCGCCGCGGGGATGCTGTCCGTTCACCGCCCGGTCCTGCGGGATCTAACTGTCCTCGCCGTTCTCGCCCGGCCCCTTGATCAGCCGCTTCTGTCCCCGTTTCCCCACGGGCCCCTTGGGCTTGGCGAAGGCCTGCTTGAAGGCATGTTGCTTGGGGTGCACCTCCTCGTAGAGGAACTCCGCCGTCAGCTCGGCTCCATCATCGATCTCAATCTACACCCGGGAGCGGCAAGCGGGGGTTAGCAGCTCCCTGGGGTCTTGACACCCACCTTTGGGGCACCCAACTCCCCCCTGAGCCCACCAGCAGGGCTGGACCAAGGCTCTGGCACAGGCCCTTGTAGATGCCCAGCACTGGTCTCTGCTCCATCACCTCTGGGTGGGCTCGCACTTACCTTCTTGGCTATCTCCAGGCAAAACTCCTGCTCCACAGTGTCCAGCAACCGGCTCTTGCAGCTGGAGTAGAGCATGCGCTCCTTGATGCTGCATTTGTACCCGGGCATGGAGTAGATAAAGACTGCGAGAAGAGAGCGGGGCTTGTGGCGCTGCCCAGGCTCGTGGCCAGGGAGCACCAGGCAGCCACATCCCACCCCGGTCATGGATTTTCCAGCCCCAAGAGACACCCAGTGTACTCGGTGACAGAAGGCAAGCCAGCCCATCCATCACCCCTCCCCACATCTCCCCTGGCCCTGGTGTGCCTGCACCACAACAGCCGCGCAAATCCTCCACGGCAGCACCCAGAGCACCCCGCACCGCGCGTGGCAGCCGCTTTCGGCACCAAAGGACGTGCCAACACCCGCCATGGGACGACAGCAAGTGGGAACTGATTCAAGGTCCGCTGCCACACCATCCCCAACCCCATCCCCACGCGAGCGACGGTCCAGGGAGAACAGGGACCAGCACAGGCTCTGACCAGCTGGCCCCGGTGCTGGGGCACTCACCGACAGACTCCAGGTAGTCTCCCTCGTGCGAGTGCTTGTACAGGAAGAAATGGTACCGAGCCGAGTCCTGGGGGATCCTCTTGGGCAGATCGGTGATCTCCGTGGGGCTTGTGTGCACCAGGTCGATGGTCTCCCGCTCCAAATCTAGCTTCTGATGGACAGAGGGGATGGGGAAGCGGACGGGAGTGAGAGGCAGCAGCAAGAGGCAGGGGAGTGCGGGGAGCCACGCGAGGGACCTACCAGCTGGATGTAGTTGATTTTCTTCTGCTTGAGCGCCTGGATGGCTTGCTGAGCATCCAACTGCAGGGGGAAGGCCAAGCCCTGCAGGGTCTGGTGCTTGCTCTCCACGCTGATCTCCGTCTTCACCTGGGGATGGAGACCACCCCGAGCGTCAGGGCAGAGACCGGCAAAGGGTGGGGAAGGGAGAGAAAGGAAAACCGGCCAGTGCCACAGCAAAAGGCTTCTCATCCAAGGAGCCACCTGACACCCAGCTCACGGGGACTGTGGCATTAAACCACCGAAAGTCAGCCAGGCTTGGGGCGGCGACGCTGGTCACCGTACCGCCACGCCGGGAGATCACCCGGCCCCAGCCATGCACCCCCCTGTGCCCCCCCGCTTCACGCCCAGCAAAGACCAGCTCAAAACCGATGCCTCCCAGTGAGTCCCCGGCAGGGATGCTGCAACCAATGCTGGCACGTGTCCACCTCCGATCATCTCTGCCCGCAACCTGTGGGTGAGGGGGGGAACCCTGAAATCACAGCGTTCAGCTGCACAGGTCCCACCCAGGGCGGGAGGGCAAGCCCCTCCTCGGTGGATTTAACTGCAGCAGACAGGCATCCCCTCTGACGCTGGAGCTGGGGAACTGGAGATCCACAGCTCGGAAAGATCTCAGCTGCTGTTTTCCCCAGAACCTCTGCAAGGCAGAGGCTGCCACCCGTACCCCAAGCAAACCCCCTCGTCCAGGAGACCAAACCCCACTTCAAAAAAGGGAAGAGATTGTGGAGACGTCACATTGCCCCAGGTGCCTCCATCCAGCCACAATGGGGGGGAGGGGGTGTCCCTGACCGGGACCAGAGGGTGCCGTGAGCCAGCAGTGGGGAGGGGGGGGCAGGACGCGGCAGGCGCGGCATACCTCCTCGGGGCCGGGGTACTCTACCAGCGATGGGCAGCAGCAACAGCCCCCCACCATCTGCCACAGAATACAGGGAGACGGCGTCACCCCGACGGCGGAGGAGCCCGTTCCACTTCAAGACCCCCACCCTGGGTAAACAGTCCAGCAACGCTAACCCAGGTGCTCTGCAGCGAGCGTGGGTCCCTTTCCTTCGGGATCGGTTTGGGGGATTTTGGATAAAGACAGTCCAGCCTCTTTTTTTTTTTTTATTATTATTCTTTTCCCCACCCCGATAGAGAAAAGGAAGAAAAACCAAGTCATGCCAAGAGAAACGCAGGAGTTTCAGCTCACATCTCAAAACCAGCTTGGCAGTGCCAAAGCAGATCTCGTTACGAGGCTGCCCTTCGTTACAGCAGCCCTGCGTGGTACCCACACCCCGGGGAGATGATGGACCCGGCTGCCCGGAGCAGAGCATGCAGAAAAACACCACTGGGAGAAGGAAAAATCGGGCATCAAGCGGGCAAGAGCAGCCTACCATCTCGGTGCTCGAGTCCTGGGAACAGGAATCCTGCGAGCGTGGGGAGAGGAGACACACCGTCAACGGCAGCCCACACAGGGACGGAGCGGGGAGACTCGTGTGAAACGAGAAGGGGTGGGGGACACACGGACATGCCGGGAGGATGGAGGCGTACCATCTCTCTGCTGGAGGCCAGGGAAGGCAGGTCCTGGCGGCACGGGCAGGGAGAGCAGCAAAAAATGACATGGGAGACATCAGTGCTGGGGAGGAGCGGGAAGGCGAGCCCCAGCCCCGGGCCCTGGCAGCCCTGCACGCAGCATTGCTGCTGACGTCCCTGCGCAGAGCCCAACCCCACCCCATCTCCTGCTGGCTCCCCAGCCAAGGTGGCCCCAATCCCGGGTCTGGAGGAGTTACGGCTCCAAGCCAGGGTCTGGAGGAGTTCCAGCAGTCGCAGCAACAGATTTTGGGCTATCCTCCGCCAAACAGCATACACTAAAGGTTTGGTAGGGAAAAAATGCCCAAGCCTCTACTCATGCCAAGCATCCTGGAGGATGAACAGGGTGCGAATGCGCAGCTCTTGGGAAATAATTGCTCAAGGGTCATGCAGTGCCAGGTGGGCAAGAGGCCTGGGTGACCTCCAAGCTCTGCTGTCCTGCCATCCCCTGGGGTGCCGTGGCACCAGCAAGGGCCGGAGGGCAAGCGTGCAGGGATTCAGAGGATGCGCACAAGCTTGCCTGGTCCCACCCTGTGGAGAGGAGGAGCAGAGCGAGGATATTGCTACTGCCAACACCTCCAGATCCTCATCTTTCTCCCTCATAAGTTCAAGGAGGCTGGGGGGTTTATAGCGGGACTGGAGAGGCCTCAAGCTGCGACACAAAGCGTGCTGAAGTCCAAAAATCCCAAGAGGTGGAAAGTTGTCCTGGCAACATCAGCTCCCCCATACACCTCTGTATTATCTACCCTTTCCATTTTCAAAAACATTGGAAGCTGGGTCACTGAAACACCCCCCAGGGCACAGCCCGGGCACCACGTGTGGGACGGTGGAGCATGTGCCGCACCCCGTTCCCCCAGCCCTAGCTTTGCTGGCAGCAGGCTGGGCTTGGGGGGGCTATTTTATCTCCTTTTCTTTAGGTTAGTTTTCTTCTCCTTCCTTCCTCATTGCTGGCATGGTGCTGACCTTGGCTAATGAGCATTTCTCTGTCTCATGGTGAAACCTTTGGTGGGGGGGTAGGTGGTTCTGGCAAAGCCTCTGCTCTACCCACCCAACACGAACTGTGGGGCAGCTACAAACGATACCCCCTTACATGCTGCAGTGGCACAGCCACCTTTAGTTCCTCTTAATTCTTCTGCTTCATCCCCCAGCTCCAAAGCTGCCTTCCTCTCCCCCCACAGCCCCATCCATCTGATACGCCTGGCTCCCTTCCGTGTTTCTGAGCCCGCGATGCTTCTAGAAAGACTTCCCACTTGTGGGTGTTAATGTAGCTCAGTGCCAAATTCAAAGCCATTTCTTAGCCCACGGTCTGCTGACAACTTCCAGCTCAGAAAAGCTGGCAATGCATTTTTCAGTTACTTAAAAAAAAAAAAAAAACAGCATACATATATATAAAGCAAATGGCAAATTTCTGGGAGCTCCTAACCAGCTATCAAGGATAGCTCACGACATTGCCTCTGTCCATGCAATCCTCAAACCACAGGGGAAGCTTGGCTCACACAGCCTAAAGCCTGCTTTACCAAAGGCTGGGCACCCTCTCAGGGGACGTGCAAACCTGAGTCCTTCCTATCTCAGTGTAAAAAGCTGCTGTACTGGCCCTGAAGCTGCTGCCATGCAGCCATCGCCTCCCCGCTCCTGCTTTGCCGCTGCCCTTCCCCTCCCACCCCTTCTCCGCACTTAGTCAGTAGTTGAGGAAGGTCCCAGAGAGCTTCTGCTGGCCCAGAAATGAGGCCACCTTTGGGGTGAAGACTGCAAACCAGGTTGGCACTTTGAAGGGTTGTGCATCAACATTAGAGGAGAGGAAAGCTGCACCACCACCAGCAGCTCCAGGAAAGGGGCACAGCAAAGCACGGACGAGCTGGTGGCTTTTCAAGAAACAATGTCCCTTGTGTCGTTTCCAAAATCCCAAGGGGTTGGTTGAACCCAGGGGGATGTGCAGGGTCCTGAGCCTCCGGCGGGGGCACAGGCAGACGTGCAGAAGCGCTGAGGTCGGGGCTTGCCCGGGGGCTGCTTCCCAGGTTGCTGACAGCCCTGACTGCTCGCTCCCACGCGCTGGGTCTGCTCCCCCAAATGAAGGTACACGCGCGTGCAAGGACCACCCCCAGCCTGTGCACAATGTGCACACATGTGCAAGGACCCTGTAAGCCTGTAGGCAACGTGCAAGTCTGGAGGCATCGCTGTACTGAGCGGGGTGCTACAGCTGCTCCCATACGGCCCCTCTCAATCAAAGCCCTCTGCTTTGCGTGGCTCCAGAAACTCACTCAAAACTCCATATATTGAGTCATGAGTTTCCTCACCCCGGGGAGGTGAGGGCAGCACCAAGCACCCGAGCCAGAGCTCCCACCTCCTCCTGCTCCGTGCCCGGGACTGAGCGGGTGCAGCCCCTGCACCAACACGGAGATCCTTCAGCGCTCAGCCGCTTTCCACCTTTAAATACACAGGCAAAAATATATCTGTTTTCCTCTCTTTCTAAATGCTGGGGACTGCTCCCCGTGGCTCAGGCTGAGACAGGGGACAGTGTACCTTTAAAATAACCCCCAGCCAAACCAAACAGCAGCAGCACCTTCCCCCAAGACCTGCGTCTCGCAAAGCCGAGGGTGGGAAGTAGAGCATGACAGATCAACTGGAAAACAAGCACCATGAGCACCTCTTACCTGGGCCACGTGACGCTGAAAGACACAGCCAAAAAAACCCCCAAAACTACTTAATCCTGCAGCACTGGCCAGTCAAGGCGATGGCACAGGTGCCCAAAGGTGCCAAACAAGCCTCAGAGCATCAACATCTCTCTCCTCCGAGCATGGGCATCACCTTGGATCCCCCAGCACAAATCCTGCCCAGCCCCTCCAGGCTGAGAGCTGGGATAACTACACCAAGACCCACACGGTGGGGACCACCCCTTGGTGGCATGTCCCAAACATCCCTCAACTTCACCACGCCCAGACCCCCTTTGGTAGGTGGAAACCTCCTGCCTCATCTTTGTCATTAATTAATGCTATCAGGTTGATTGACTTCGCACTTCCCAGGCATGTCCTGACCCACCCGTGAGCCACACAGTCCCAGCACAGACAGAAGAGAGAGATGCTCATCTAAAGATGAAGATTTTCCACAGAATCCAAGTGAAATCCTTCCACTCCAACAAAACCCTGCTTCCAGGTGGCCTTTCCCACCCAACGAGCCGATCCTGCCCCTGCCTCAGCGTTTCACAGCACCATGGAGGTTGGCACAAGTGCTGCGAGATGCTGGCAGGGGGACGATGGCATTACAGCCTTGTCTGCCCCCAACCCTACCCTGCACCACTTCCCCATTTTTCCAGTACATAAGCCCCCAAATTTAGGCTAAGATCTGTATTTCTTTGGACACCATCCCTCATATTTATAGCCACAGAGTATGGGAAAGGAGGCTGCTGCAGCCCAAAGATAAGCCTGAATTCTTCCTGCTTCCTCGGTGAATTCAGACACAGCTCTGGCTTTGCCCCGATGCCTAGAGGTTAGAGACTGCTGTCTGCTTTCAGCCTCAAACCATCTTCTGACTGCCAATAACAGCAAGCAAAATGGAGCTCGGAGCTCCTGCCCTAGCAAGGGGGTAAAAAAAAAAACAAAAACAAAACAGTCTGTAAGTTCCTCTTTACACCACCAATTTGACCATGAGGATGCTCGGTCCACCTCAGCAAGGGCAGGAATGGGTTAAACTGCAGAGGTACAAGAGAGTGCAGTAAAAATGAGCCAGCCCTCTTAGCTGGACGCTGGGACGCTGGCTCCCACACCTCTAGCAGCAAACACACTCTTGCATCCCGCGTCCCCGTGTACCCCGAGGGTCCCGGGCTCCCTCTCCCCGGGCCAGCGACACCCCCAGGCACCCACCTCGTTGATGCGGATCTGCTGGAGCTCCTGCTCGGCTGCGGTCAGCGGGGCTGGGGCAGAGCAGGAGGACACGTGCTTCTGGTAACCGCTCAGGGACACGTCCTCCTGCGGACAGAGGGACAGGGGGAAGCCTCAGGGGTGGTTATCGCTGCAGGGCTGGATGCAACCCAGCGGGTCTCAGGCTCTCTCCTTACCAGGAGGATCAACCCGAGCAGCGCTCTTGGATGCCTCCGTGCAAATCCCGTGCTCGATTTTAAACAGTGCCCGTGCCCGTTCAGACCACCCTGCCCCTTCCTGGACACCCGTGGCTGCGGCAGTGCGGCTCCCCTGGCTGATTAACAGAGCTCACGCACGCGAAAGCGAGAGGGAAAGGCAGAGACCATGGTCTGAGAGCAGCAGGGAGGGGCACCGGAGCAGGAGGGCAGCTGCTGGGGATGCTCCTTGGCTCCCCACCTGCACCAGAAGTCCCAGCCAGGGTCTGATGCCCGGGAGGCCCTGGCTGTGCAGCTCCCTCTGCAAAAAGCCCACGGAAGAGAAGGAGCAACCTCCTGCCAAGGCAGCCGGATGACCCCAGCGCGGCAGCAGCTCTCGCTGCTGGAGTGACACTGCCATCGCCTGGCGCTTCTTTTCCCCACTCAGAGTAAAAGCTCTGGATGTGTTCTGAGCCTTCCTCCCACCTCTTCCACTGTCTCCATCACAGACCGATCACGGCGGTGCCCGCAGGAGAAAGTGGCGACGGCTACAGGGGAGACTAAAGCAGCACGGGGGACAAACCTCCGCGCTGTCCCCCGCAAACACCAGCATCTCCCATCCTGCTCGGCTTCAGTGCTGAGCCCGCGTTAGGCTCCCAAAGTCCAAGACTGAGCCCCCAAAAGGCTGCCCAGCAACCACCGCCGTACCTTCACCGTTCCAAACATCTCGTCCTTTATGTGCCCCCCACCAAACTCCTTCTTCACCGTCGCTCTGGTGGCAGCGTACAGCATCTTCAGCCGGACCTGGGCGAGGAGGGAGGCGGCAAGTGCCGTCAGAGAGCAGCATCCCGCACGGCGGGACCCGAGAGCACCCGAGGTGCCCGATGCTCGCGGTCACCCTCCTGCCACCGGCCCCGCAAACCCCCACCCCACCCCCAGAGCCCCCCCCCACCCCGAGAGCTCCCACCCAGGCCGATCTCTAACCTCCGGGTCTCCGGGCCGGGAGCACCCAGGAAAACCCACCAGTGCTGTCTCTGTGCTTTGCTCTCCCACCCCTGCGCGCCAGCGGCTGTTGCTCACCCCCACCCAGGTGAGAGGAGGGGCAAATGCTGCCCGAGCCACCTAAAAGGGACTTTTGCCTTTTGGCATTCCTTTTGCAGTGTTCTTCTGCAAAACCCAGGGAGGAGCTTTAGGAAGTGCTCCTTGGCATGCTGCCCTTGCAATAAGGCCCTCCACAGTTTTTTGAGACATATATACATAAAAATATCTATTATTATTACTATTATACAAATGTATATGTACACATGTATGTGTATACACACATATAAAATTAAATGTATTATTAAAATTGTGTATACGTGTGTGTATATGTACATGTACACACATATGTATACACACAAAATCATATATATCATATAAATAATATAATTGTATATACACATCTGTGTGTATACATATACATATAATAATATATATTTGTTAGATATATTTCTCAACAAACTGCTGAGGGTGTTTTTAATATATGCATGTTACATATAGCAACAACATATATTTGTACAACAGATAACAACAAATATATATATATTTTTTTGTATATATATCTATATATATGACAAGTGCACACGGCAGTAAATCTAAATAGCATATAGATTCTATAAATATATAACATATATATGTGACACATATGTATGTATGCTAACACGGCGTGTATGTTAACATGGCAGTATATCTCGGTCCCGCTGACAGCCGGTTACGGAGACGTGCTCGGCACGACGGCGTTTTCCAGGCGGCACCACTGGAATCCTCTCGAGCAGCCGCCCCTGCTCCCACTCCCCGACGCCGTCTCCAGCCCCCAGCCCACCCGGCCCTTTTTAGAGCTGATTTTGGAGCCGGGCCCGGAGGTGGGCCAGCGTCTCCTCGAGCGGAGCCGGGCGCATCGGTGCCAGCACCAGCTCTTCCCAGCGGCGCTTTTGCCCAGAGCCGTGGTGGGATGTCTCCCTCCCCGTGGTCCATACCGCTCCCCTCCCTACGCCCCAGACCCCCCACCTCCTCACACAGCCCCCCAAAGAGGACAGACACACGGTCCCACTGTATCTTCTCACAAAATCCCCCCATCCCCAAAGCAGTCTCCGCTTTTCAAGCCAGGCACGGCAACGGAGGGTGTGAACGCTCCTCCTCAGCCCCAGCGCTGAGTCAGTTTGGCCAGCATGCCCTCCACCCCCCTCGCCCCCTCCCAGAGCACCTCTGCGTCCGCAGGCTGGGGTGTCACAGCCCGGCGGGTGCTGCTCACCGGGGAGCTGTCGGGGGACCAGGAGATGAAGAGCCACTCGTAGCCCTGGGCGTTCTGGCTGTCCAGGCGGTACAGCACGTAGCACGGCTGCTGCTCGTCCAGCAAAGGCAGCACGAAGGCATCGTAGTCGGCGTCCCAGCGCCGGGACAGCTCTTTGTGGGCTCCCAGCACGAGCTGTTCTGGAAGGAGAAGACAGAAAAGGTGGTGTTAGCTGAAGGCAAGGCTTTGCTCACCTTGCAGGACCACGAGGCAGCTCGGCTAAGGGCTTGCTGCAGCTCCAGCACTGACGACAGTGCCTGCAATAAAACAAATTAAGGTCTCCAACCACGTGCAGGAGTGTACACCCCCACTGGTGACCCCAACGGGGGACCCCATCAGGGCTGTGGCCACCATGGAGGGGCTGGTTTTCTGACAGCATCCCGCTGCCTCCTGTCCAACCATCTCCTCCCCTACCGTGGTCCCCTCTCTGGTGACCATCCGTAACCTCCTTCCGCTCTGCTCCCTCCAGCCGTGTAGTCCCCAACCATCCCTCGTTGCTCACAGGAGAACAGGAAACCTCCTCAATCCCACCTGAATAAGGTCTAGGGGCACTAGAACACCTCACCAGGGACACAAGCAATCCACATAGGTCTGGGGTGCTGAGAAAAATAAAGATCCCACAGCAAAAGCCAGGACAAGCTGATCTCATCGTATTCCCTATAACCTCAGAGGGTTCAAATTCAGAGCTGATACCCTAAGACCTTGCCTGCAGGGACCAGAGATGTCCCAGAGACCCCTGCCTGGGGGAGGGGGATCATGCTGCCAGGAGAACCCCAGCCTCTGGAAGCGATCTACATATTTCACACACATGGTTACATCTCAAGTGTCTGGAGAGTCTTTTTCTCGGCTGCTGTGCAAGCGGCAGCAGGGCTGGGAGCCCCACAAGCCAGGCAGCACTCAGCTGGGATTTAAATGCTGGTGCAGGCATTATATAAACATGAAACCCCATCCTGAGAGGGTCAAACCAAGCTTTGGGATGGCTTGATGGAAAAGCAATGGCACTGGAGAGGATCGGTGTAGGTTGCTGGAAAACAACCTGTATATTTATTCCGTTTTAGATGCAGGAAGGTCTGGGGGGAGATGTGGGGGAGATGCTGGGACTCGGAACAAGATGTAGAAAAACCCAGAGGTGCTAAAGCAAAATGAGTTGGGGCCTCGGACAGTTGGCACTTGAGGGGATGCTCAGCCTGGCACGTGCCCTGCCTTGACCTCTGCCTACAGCCCCCCTCCCCATTGGGAGCCAAGAAGCCCCTCGGCTTTGGTTGCTCTTCCAACCCTCTTCCTCCCATCCAGCTCAGCAGCTCCAAATCTCGTGGCAGGAGAGCTTTTAAGGAAAACAGTCGAGGAATAATGGGTTTGGAATGAATTACTCTCACCCACCTTTTCCACCCAAGCAGGGCATTGCCCCACTGACAGTGGTGTAGCCCTCCCCTGCCCAGAGCCACCCTGCCGTGACATCTGCCATCGCACGCTGAACCCACAGTTATTTGTGCATGAGGGGCACGTGCTACCGGTACAGTAACAAGGACAGCAGAAAAAAAGGGGTGCTGAAAATAATTTACCTTCAGCAAAGCCACCTGTTTTGCGTAAGAGAAGCATAAAAACCTCAGTCTACCCCTAAAGTAAACACAAAGCCCTGCAAATGGATTTGTGCATTGCAAAGACCTGGGATCCCGAAGAGACTGCAAGGAGTTTCGCCCGGCCAAACCCACTGGCAGCTCATGGGTGTCTCTGTTGGCCAAACATCCTGATACCTCACGCACGAGGCATCGGTGCTGAATCACTCCAGGGTATTCCCAGGCTGTGCCCAAGCTGGATCCGGCCGTGCTGCCATGAGTCAGCAGCCTCCAGCTTTCCCCTGGACTGGAGGAGCCACTTCTGCTGCTCTGCTCATTCCCCTGCCTCCCATCGGGCCCTTTGCAGTTCAGTTCAACCTGTTCAGGGCCAAATTTTCCTCCTTGGGAAGCATTGGGAAAGGGAAACCCAGAGCAGCTGTGCTTTGACAAAGCATCATCATCATGCTGGCTATTTCAGGCTCCATTTCCGCAGGGTGCTGCTGCTGGAAAAAGGGTGTCTGGGAGTGTTTCTGGCCCTTGAAGTGTCCCCAGCACTCGGCTGCAGGCAGGCTGCCTTGCTCCAAAATGCCCGTACGAGGCAGCCCTGCCTGCAGCTCTGGCAGGCGCCGCGGTGGGACGGCGCAGCAGCCGGGAGCCCACAAAGCTCAAGGGACAACATCACTTATGTGCAAAGAAACTCACTCAGCCAGGAAGACCACAAAGTCAACCTTGTCCAGAAACAGCGAGGAGTAGAGCGTCACCTAAAACCACGTTGGACCACAAGCAGTTCTCATGCCAGGAAAACACGGCTCAGCCTCAGTGCGCAACCTGCTTCTCCCCGCACACCTTCTCCATCCGACCCTGGCTTCTCCTGGCCAGCCCCTGAAGGTAACGTCAGCTCAAAGATCTCCCAAAGAGTTGCTCAGCCATAGCATGGCTGGGGGTGCCTGGACACAGAGCATCTGCCACAAGGCTCCTGGCACCATCTTCCACTCCTTCCACCCGCCGCTGCCTGCTCCGACATGTCCCAGGACTAATGCCCTGTAGGGCAGAAGGTCTTCTGCAAGCCGCTGAGCAGGGCTGGAGGCTCCTCTTCCACATCCCCTGTGCAGGCAGAGCAGCTGGCACGTCCTCCCCGGCCGGCTCGGGACACTCCTTTCCAGGCTGAGTGTGTTTGAGTCTGTCTGTCCAGCTATAACATCTCATTACTGTCTGAGGGTCCTTCTCTGGTGGGTAGCAGCAGGCTGATGCCCCCTGTGTTACAGAAAAGAGCAGAGGCCCAGAGGGACCGAGCAACCTGGGACAAATCACATAGAAAGGCAGACAGGAGGTCCCTGGGCCGGGCCGGTGGGACCACCACCACCTTGTCCTCAGCAGACCAAGCCCTTCAGCTCAGAGATGCTCCTGGCTCTCCTCCTTCCACCTGCCTCCCCATGGGAGCCTCAGGCTCTGCTGCATCTCAGAGGCTTCTGTAGACACCCAAGCTCCTCCAGAGCTGCCCATGGCCAGTCCAGGCCAGAGGAAAGGAGCCGGCAAAGTGGGAGAGCCGAACTGGGAAGCACAAAGCACTGCCAAGTGAGGTTGGTCCGTGAAGCAGCTGCCTGTCACCAGCGTGTCAGACAGATAAATAGGTCTTATTTAGCCTGAGTGGAGATCGTGGGACATGGTTTCCATTGATAGTAAAAAGTCTCCCTTGCTGGTGTCACTGGCCACAATCCAAAGCCAACGGCACAAGCCCTAGGCTTAGGGGCATCCATGACTTATCCTAACACAAACTTGGCTCCCCTTTTTGAAAAGAAAAATGAGCTGAGTGAGCAACACTGCTGTCGAAGGTGCTCCAAAGAAACACCGCAGATATCACATCCCAGCACAGGGGGATCTTGCCGAGGACAAAGCCAACACCGACGAACCTTGCAGTGGCCCTGCTGATGCGTCCCACATGTTTCAAGTCAGGCTGCTCTTCCAAATGGGGCTTCACAGCCCCTCCAAAAGCCAGCACAGGCTCCTTACAACCATGTCCACCTTGGCATTTGCAGAGAGGTCCTGGTGGCCCACCCGAGGGAGGTGGTGACGGCAGTTTGGCAGGGCATTATGGTCCCCGCTGCCGCCAGAAACAAGTCATTCATATGCAATTGTATGAGGCTGAGGCGATGGAAAACCTACACCACGGAGGCTCCTCGCTGGGACGTTCAATCTGTGCTTTGCTCTGCTCGCTCGTTCGATGGATGTCGAGGCCACCCAAAGGCACCTTTCGGTGGGGCAAACACGGGCAGGTTGGCATCAGCCTGCAAACCGGGCTGGGGCAGCCCTGTGCCCAGGAGCAGGGGCTGGGACGGGATGGGTTTCAGAGCACAGCATCCCTCACGGGATGCAATCGGGGCCCCGTGCCGAGCCCTGCGCCGAGGAGCACCCCCGGGCCCACCCCTGCCCCCAGCACCTCCCTGCCTGGCGTGGGATGCCACGTCTGAGGAGGAAGATGCTGCGTGTCGCCCCCGCCCAAGGTCCCACGGCACCCACAGCAGCTTCTCACAGCGCTCCCCGTAACAAAATCCAACACAGCAGCAGGAAAATCCCCCCAGAGCCCAGCACCGACCCCAGACACCCACATCGATTCGCTGGCAACGTCGCTGCTCCCCGCCAGAGCTGTCCTGGGGCTCCAATAGCTGCTCACAAGCACCAAATTTTGGGCTTGTATTTCAGCTCCAGGTTGCCAAGTACCAGGGAGTCTCAGCAGGATTTTCCTCAGAGGTTTCCAAAAACACAAGCTGGCACCACAGCACAGTGGCAAAGAGGGAAGGAGGAGAGGCAAAACAGAGAATCAACATGGCATAAATCAAAGCACATAAAACCAGAACTTACCGTCCTCAATGATGACCTTGATGAGCCGAACTGAACCATTTCGGGCTTTGGCAAAGAAGTCCCTTAATTCTGTGGTGGCTGAAAGAACCAGAAACATTGTGATGAGATTTAACAGTCAAAGCAGGCACTGGGCTGCTTGGTGACTGGCCAGGGAGGGAAGCAACTTGGCAGGGCAGAAATTTAAAAATTAAAAAAAATAAAATCACTAGTGCTAAAAAAATTATAATAAAAATAATAATACAAAACCCAAACAGCTGGGAGTGAAGTGCTGCGTCTCCCTGAGGCGTGAGAGTTAAATAGCAGCTGGGAGCACATGTGATCCAGAGAACCTGATACTTGGCCTGGGTGAACATAATCACCCAAATTTAGACGATGGCTTGGCCAGTGCAGGCAGGGAGAGCTCAAGTGACAAGTTTATTCGCTTTACAGAGCGGCATTGCATCTGGGGGTGGCTGGAAGATGTCCTGACAGGCTGTGACACCTTGGGCTTGTGACACGCCATGGCAGGGATGCTGCTCCCGAGGCAGCTGGGGACCATCGCGACTCCAAACTGGAGGCACTGGTTTGAAGCAGAGTCCCTGGGGAAGGGAAAGGCAACAGCCCCGAGGTTTTGCTCCAGAGCTGGTGGGGCTTTGGTTGCAGAAGGCTTTTGGGATGCGTTTTGGGGAGCCACCTTCCTCCTCATCCCCCCTCCCCGAGCACCAGGCATCTGGCCAAGACTGAGCCAATTAGTGACAGCAGCTGCACCGCTGTGAGAATGTATTGAGGAAGGGGAACCTGGGAAGAAGAGTTGTGAGGAGGACACCTCTGCAAACCCCAAGGTCAGAGGAGGAAAGCAGGAGGCAGGGGGGAGGTTTGCCAGAGCAGAAGCTCCCCTGCAGCCTGTGGAGGTCACCAGTGGGGCAGATGCCCACCTGCAGCCCATGCAGGACCCCACACCGGAGCAGGCAGCTGTGCCCAAAGAAGGCCGGGACTCTGAGGGAAGCCCATGCTGCAGCAGCTCGTTGCTGGGAGGATTGTGACCCCGAGGAGGGATCCATGCTGGAGCCGTTCACGAAGAGCTGCAGCCCATGGGAAGGACTCATGTTGGAGGGAGTTCATGGAGGTCTGTCCCTCGTGAGAGGGACACCACACTGGGCCAGGGGAGGAGTGTGAGGAGTCCTCCCCCTGAGGAGGAAGGAGCAGCAGGAACAACATGTGACAAACTGACTGCAACCCCCATTCCCTGCCCCCTTGTGCCGCTGGGGGCAGGAGGAGGTAGAGAAATTGGGAGCAAAACTGAGCCCAGGAGGAAGGGAGGGGTGGGGGGGAATGTGTTTTTAAGATGTGGTCGTATTTCTCACTGACCAATTCTGTTTTATTGGTTAATTAAGTGGTGGTGGTTTTTAAATTGTTCTTTTTCTTCCCCTAACGAGTCTGTCTTTTGCCTGTGGCCACAACAGGTGAGTCATCCCTCCCTGTCCTTATCTCAATTCCCAAGCCTTTTGTTGCATTTTCTCCTCCCCATCACTGAGGGGGAAGGAGTGAGAGAGTGTCTAGTTGATCTCTGGGCTCAAACCACAACACTGTCCCTCCCAGGACATGTTACGTGTAAAGGCAGTACCCAAGAGATGTGGCTTGGAGAGGCCGAGACCCTGACGAGGAGCATCTCCCAGCTTGGTTGCCCTCAAAAGTCCCTTTGATTACACACTTGTGCCCCTTTCTGGATGCAGCCAAGGGGGTCCTGTGAGTTAAAAGCTGCAGGCAGCAAACAAAATTGTTACTGAAGAAACCAGTGTTGCAATGATTAGAGGCCTGGGCAGGGACCCCTTAGTTCACACCAGGATGCGTTCTTGGAGTTGCTCCCTGCTCCCGGCGCTTTGCCACGCCGCCTGCCCGTTGCCGATCGCCATGCTGGAGCAACCCGCAGCAGGAAGGAGCCCTGCTTTGGTCCCTGCAGCCTGAGAGCACCCACGGTCAAGGCACTTTGCAAAGCAGGCCACCCCTACGTCAGCCAGAAAGGCGCGGCGGCTGAAGGAGCCATCCCCTGCCAGCAAGGGCTGTATCCATCCTGCCTCGGTCCCCCCAGCAGCGGGTACCAGCCTTCGGCACAGCCCCCCAGCATCTCTGCGGGGGGAGCCTCGATGTTACCCGTCACAAGGGACACGGGGTGGCCACCGATTGTCACATGCCAGTGCCCTCATCCCTGGAGGCAGACCCTGGGCTGGGGCACGGCCCCGCAGCTCCCCCAGCCCCAAGGGAGAAGGAGCAGGCGTGGATTTGTCCCCACACACAAATGCCAACGATAATGCAGGCAGAGAGGTGGACAGGGATGGTCCTGGGGAGCCCCCAGGGGAAATCCTGCCTGTCCTCCCTAAGTGGTACAGCTGACATGCATCTGCCCCACCAGCTCAAAGCTTGCCCTGATCAGAGGTCCCGGTGGGTTCCCCTCCCACGACAGGAGGCACAGATGAGAAAGAGCTCCCAGGCTGGGACCCTGCAAACAGCAGCGCTCCCATACAAACCCAGAGATGCCACCCCAGCAGGACCCCATGGAAATGGGCACACAGACACCCCAGCAAAGGCACATCTGTCCTTAACAGCATTTAAGGGGGACACACAGAAGGTTTGCTAGTGTAATCCCACCACGAGCAAACCATCATCCTTCTCCCGCCATCAGCACCGAGGCACGTGGCTCTCCCAGCGCAGACCTTCACCCCCTCCCAGCGCCAGCTGGGAGCTCAGCCCACTCCCACCCAAGGATGATCCGATATTTTTAGCTCCCTTCCCTGATGAAAGTGGTTGTTTCCTTCCGGCAGCATCTGTGGTTTTTGCAAACACACGAGGCGGAAGAGGAGGAGAAAGAGACATTTATGCACCCAGGAACCCTCACGCAGGAGACAAAAGCTCCTAATAAGCATTAAGCTTCACCGATTCCTATTGCACTGCCAAATTAGGAGAGAATAACATTGGTCTCGGATGTTTCTATAGCATCAGCTACAGGGGAGAAAAAGGAAAGCTCTGCAGTGCTAACCAGCTTGCAAATCCCTCTGGCCTGACCCCATGGGCACATAGGGGTCTGAAAAAATCAGGAATCTGGGCAAAAGCAGCGTCCCAGCCCACCTGGGAATACTAGGAGTGCACAGAAGTATCAAATCGACAGCTAGGATGATTGACAGTTGAGTGATTGACAAGTGACAGCCAAACGCTGGGACCTGCGTAGGTACAGAGGGGCTTAAAGGGATGGAGAAAAGCAGAGATGCTGCCGGAGAAGCTGAGCACAGGATGGGAAATACCGCAAGGTCTGCCAAGGAGGGAGATGCTTTCCAGAGGAGGCGGCGGCAAAGCTTTCAAAAAAAAAAAAAACAAAAAACCAAACAAACCCTCAGAGCTTCCAAGCTTTAATTCTACTGAAATAAAAAAATAAAAACAAAAACAAACCAACCCACAGACCAATTTTCACTTAAATAAAAAAAAATCACCAGGGTGTCTTTGATGTCCCCCCCTTCTGTCTCTCATGACAGCAAAGAGCTAGTGAGGAGGGAGAGGAATAAACTAGCGAAGGTTTTCAGCACGAGCTCAGCCACTGCTTCATTACAGCATGATTATAACTTAATTGGCACAGCAGACTTGACGAGATGGCTCGCGTGCCTGAAATATTAATATAGAAGTCCACAACCAGCTCTGGAAGGCAGGCAGGGACACCTTACCCTGGAGGTGGAGGCGAGCAGTACCTCTGCCCCGAGGCATCTCCCTGCTGGGAAATCTCCAGGTCAGTAACTCAAGGGATGGAACACCCAAGTATGGGGAAACCACAAAAATCAGGGCAAGGGAGAAGTGACAGGGCAGAGGACTAGAGGGGGACCCACACGTCCAACTCACCCTTGAGACATGTGTTCCTGGAGAATTCTGGAACAAATAATTCAGAAACAAACCCAAGCTGGGCTACAGCCAGCTAGGATCTACTGAGACCAAGTTGCATGAGATCAACACCCAGCTTCCACCAGCAAAGCCACAGACCTGTGGGCTTCAGGGGTCTCGGCTCAGCTTTCTAAGTGCCTCCAAGTGTCAGAAGCCAGCTTGGGAAACACGGTGGTGGCAAAACTTTACAGCATGGGCACAAAACTGCATGGGTAACTCACTCTGGGAGGTATCAGAGGTTGGATCGAGGAAGGTCTCCTGGGGACCTGGGGTGGGTCCAGGTTTAATCCATATTTCCACAAACACTTCTGTCAACTTCAATAGTGCTTCCTGCAGCTGAAAGGTGGGAAGCTAGAGGAGATGCAAGCGCGCGCTGGAGAAGAATTCACTGTTCTCTCGGGAGACTGGAGAAATGGGCTGGGAAAAAAGAAATAGGATGAAACTCAACAGGAAGCAAAGTACAGTAACTAGAAGGACCAGCTACACCAACACAAGGCAGGGTCCAGCAGCTCCAGAGAAGAGAGGAGGGTCACAAGCCAAGGTCAGGTTAATCGCTTCATGTTGTTGCTGGCAAAGTCATTTGTGAAAGCACAAACAAAAGCATGACCACGTTATTTGGTGCTGACAAGGCTGCAGGCACAGCACAAACAGCACGTCCAGGCTCAGCCTCGTGCAAGGAGCAAAGCACAGGACAGACGGCACCTGTGCCAGAAGGCACACCGTGCAGGAGCAACCGAAGGAACTGGGGCTGGTCAGCCCAGAGGAGAGAAGAAAAACAATGAACGACTTGTACTGGTTTCCAGCCAGAAACATCAGGTCCCACCTCAGCATTTGGGAAACCTTGTGATGAGGGTGAACAAACCGTGGGAAGGACACCATGCCTCCATCCCTGCCCCCAAAAACCTCCTTCCTGGGGTGCTGCTGCTTTGAGGTGAGCTTGGTAGCATCTTGAGGAAACCTTCCAGCCTTTCTGCAAGGCAGCCCTACCACCAACCCTCCCGGCAGACATGGTGGGCATAAGCACGCATGCATGCTCAGCCACCCTCCCATGAGAGCCCAAAAATTGCCTCCAGCCACCACGTCGTGCAACACCTCCCTCTCCCACCTGTTTGTGGGCTGCAGATGAGTTGTCCCCTATTCACGAGCCATCTGCCTTTCTCAGCTGCCTGACAGCGTGT